CGCTTAGAGGACTTAAATAGCTTTAAAACTGAAATGTCTAAACGAGGGTCGGCGAAAATCCTCCGGCTGAACCCTCCACGAGGGTACCGACTGGTAATGGCCACTACAATTTAGGTTCTGTACGATGTCAGAATGGTGTCCAGCTAAGATCAGAAATCAGTGCTATGTGCTTAAGCTCCTCAATAGCTAAGTTATATGGAAATGGTTTTTGATCGTGGCCTATGGAGGTAATGGAGGAGCAAACCTCTCTAAAAAGCTCTGGGTTGGAACAAGGTGTTAGACGACCCGTGCTGATGTTCAGCCCGGCTGGGGACCCAGATTAACAAATAGCCCAGTCTCCAACGGAGTGCTCCGGATACCTGGCGACCTCCGGTTCTATCAAGCCTTACCTGCGCACACGGACCTCTGTGCGGGCGGACCTCCATTGTCCGACACTCGTGGGACCAAAATTATGAGCGCAATTTTCAACAAAAAACAACACAACAAGGAGGACGGCCCTCCAAAAAAACGGACAGGGGTGGCTCCAATTAATGCTACAGCCTCGAGCAGGGCATTTATCGGACCGCCAGTGACAGGAGTTAGAGGGGGTTTAAGCGGTAGGGCTGCTCCTGGTACGAGTACCATAGGAGGCAGAGGGGGGTGTGGAGACTTGGGCAAACCGGTCTCCAACCGATTCATGGCTGGAGCTGCAGCGTCAGCTCCGCCTAGGGAAGTCAGACCCCAAAGCACACACACCTTAACCAAAGGGCGGGGTTCGGCACCTGCTTCAAAAATAACCCGGCAGGATGATGCCGACATCCCGAGCAGCTCGAGGAAAGTTGCAAACACAGGCCTGGGGCTAAACATGTCCGCCCCTCGAAGCAGGCCTATTATGACAAAAAGGCGGCCATGAGGGTCGTGAACAAGATCGGGGACCTGCCGACAGAGCAGCTCACGGAGGAGCAGGTTAGGTCACTGGAGTGGGCGAGGGGAGTAGTAGCCAGCTTGGGAAGACCGGTAGGCTCTTCTCCAAAAAGGTAGCGGTCTGCTGAACAGGCAGGGGGTGGGGTCACCAAAAGACCAAGAACAGGCGGCCATAAATACCCCACCTTCAGGGACGTAGTGAAGGGAGGCGGTGAGGTACTGGCAATCATCGACAGAGGGGAGGAGGAAGGGACTATCCCCAAAGAGAAGTGGAGGTTGGTGGAGGAAGCGATCGCCGAAATCTACCTCCAAGTCCTAGAGGAAAATCCTGGACCTCCTCCTCTCTGCCATGATTCCGGATGGTATCAGGGTAGAGCTAAACTCATCGCCTGCGAGGACCATAGGTCAGCCCAGCTCTATAGGTTGGCCGTTAGTAAGGTAGGTAAAGTTTGGCCGGGAGCTAAGCTCGAGGCCGTCAACAAGGAAGATATTCCTAGCAGACCGAGGGCTCGAGTTTGGAATCCGGCCAAACCCGCCGAGCCTGAAAGAATTGAGCGGATCTTCAGATCCTGTAATAAGGACCAGCCAACTCATAATTGGAGGGTAGGGAAGATAGAGGAGCCAGTAGAGAATAGAAGGCAGGTGTTGCTGATCCTCAACGCCGAATCGCTAGCCCCACTGGCGCAAAAGGATTGGGTGGTGAGATTCGGGTTTAATGACGCAACCATTCGAATCTACCGCAGCGACGAGCCGAGCTTGGACCTTAGTGAGGAGAGCGACAAGTCCGGCCTGCGCAGCGGTGGTGAAGAAGGGTTGCCCAGCAGCCAATGCTCATCTGACTCGGAGAGGCTATCCGGATTGGGGCCATTATTCACCGAGGGTGAGGAGATCGAAGAGGCGGACGTGGATGTCACGATGGTGGAGGTAAAACGGACACATTCTGATGAAGCTGATCCAGATCAACCTCCACCACTCTAAACTCGCGTCTGCGAACCTTGAGGTCCGCCTGGCTGCCGGTGGACTCGACGTTGCCCTCATCCAGGAACCGTGGATACACGGCAATAAAAACTGCGGACTTGGGATGAAGGGCTTTAAGCTTATTGCCGCACAAAATGCAGGTAAGATTCGAGCTTGCATATTAGCAAGGAACAACTTAAACATCTTCCTGCTCCCACAGCTTAGTGACGGCGATCTGGTAGTGGCAAGCATTGAGCTGGACAAAACCAGCTTTTGGGTAGCCTCTGCCTACATGGCCCATGACAAGGACGTGCCACCAGATGGGTTTCGGACCTTGGCCGAGGAAGCAGCCTTCAAGAACAAACCACTGGTTGCCTCCTGCGACCCTAATGCCCACAACTTGATGTGGGGGAGTACGGACACGAATGCTAGAGGTGAGTCGTTACTAGACTTCATTCTAGGGAACAAACTTAGTGTCTTGAATTTAGGCTCAGAGCCGACCTTCATAACAAAGAGTAGAGAGGAAGTTTTGGACATAACTCTGGCTTCAGACATGTTTGCCCATAAAATCAAGAGATGGAGAGTACTGAATGAAAAATCTTATTCTGACCATCGTTATATTGAATTCGAAATAGATCTTAAGACCCCCCAAGTAAGGGAGTTCAGAAATGTTAGAAATACCGACTGGGGGGTTTACAATAATAAATTAAGGACTTTACTGCCAAAGATACCTCCCCGAGACCCCGCCACGCAGGTGGAGCTGGATGGGTTGGTTAATCAGGTTACTAAAGCCATGAATAGTTCTTTGTCAGCCGGATGCCCGGTTGTTCGATACAGGGGAAAAAGCAAACCACCTTGGTGGTCGAAACAATTATCCTTGTTACGTGAATCTAATAGGTCAATGTTCAATAAGGCCAAAGCCACGAGAGCAGCAGAGGACTGGGAAGCCTACAAGGCTGATCTGAAAATATACAAAAAAGCAGTTAGAAATGCGAAACGTAAATCCTGGCAAAGTTACTGCAAGGGAATTGAGGAAACCACGGAAGCGGCCAGATTAAGAAGAATTCTCGCAAAGTCGCCATGCAACCTTGGCTATCTCAAGGGTCAAGGGAACTCACGGACTACGACGAGCGAGGAATCTTTAGGTCTCCTCCTGGACACACACTTCCCTGGAAACAAGCCGGTGGAACCTAATGACCCCCAGAATGAAGGGGGGCTATCTGATTGGGAAACCGACTGATTACAAACGAAAAAATTGAATGGGCTATTAAGACTTTTTGGTCCTTACAAGTCACCGGGACTTGATGGAATACACCCGGTAGAGCTACAGCAATCACGGGGTATTATCTCTCCGTTCATTGTGGTTATTATAAGAAGCTGTCTTAACATGGGCTACATCCCGCTAGGCTGGAGAGAGACAAAAGTCTCCTTTATACCCAAGGCGGGCAGGTCCTCTCATACCAACCCTAAGGACTTCAGACCAATCAGTCTTACGTCTTTCCTTCTCAAAATTTTAGAGAGGATAGTGGATGATTATGTACGGGGCGTGATACCAACAAGTAGGCTCTCCCCAGCGCAGCATGCCTATACGAAAGGCAAATCCACGGAAACCGCCTTGCACTCGCTCGTTGGGTTGGTGGAAAAAAGTTTATTCGACAAAGAGTTCGCTCTGGTTGCCTTTGTAGACATAGAAGGCGCCTTCAACAATATTAACGCAAGCGCCATAACGGGTGCCTTAGAAGAGCTTGGAGTTGACCAGAATGTGGCGGTGCTGATCGAGTCTATACTTGTCAGCAGGACGATAACCGCTAAGCTCGGCAACACCACAATAAGCAGAAAGGTCTGTAGAGGCACTCCTCAGGGAGGGGTTCTCTCCCCTCTTCTCTGGAATTTGGCGGTGAACTCTCTGCTGGTGGCACTAGAGAGGGGGGGTTGCCATGTCACAGCATATGCTGACGATCTGGCAATTGCCGTCAAAGGCAAATACCCAAATACCCTAATGGAGATTCTGCGCTCTAACATGGCCACGCTTAGGAACTGGACAGAGAGTAGGGGACTCGGAGTAAACCCCACAGGCTTCCCATTGTCTCCCCGCTAATCTTTTTGGGTGTGGAGATATCCTTGAAGGAGAATGTTAAGTATCTAGGACTCATATTAGACAGGAAACTAACGTGGAAACCTAATATAGAGGAAAGAGTAAGGAAGGCCAACGTTGCATTATACACATGCAAAAAAGCGGTCGGAATCAAGTGAGAGTTAACACCTCGTATTACACACTGGCTATACACCTCGGTGGTCAGGCCAATACTCTTATATGGAATACTTGTATGGTGGCCAGCAACTCAAAAGGCAAGTTACCTAAAACTATTGAGTAAGGTCCAAAGAACAGCGTTTCTATGCATTTCGGGTGCCTTAAGGACCACCCCAAATAAGGCGCTGGAGATGATTACCAATTTACCCGCAATAAACCTGGTGGGAAAATACGCGGCCGCCGATTCAGCGCTCAAACTAAGAAGTATGGTGCTATGGAAGGATCGGCGGTTTGGTCACGCTTCCATACTTCACACTCTGGGTAGTTACAACCAAGAAGTTGACTACTCCGCTCCCAAACCAATCTTCAATAGGCTCTTTAAGACGAGCATCCCGTTAAGAGGAGAATGGCAAACGCCAAGACCATGGAGACGGGGGGAATTGAATTTTTACACAGATGGATCCAAGCTAGACAATAGGGTTGGCTACGGAGTTTTCTCTAAGGAACTAGGACTGGAACTATCCGTCCGAATTCCGGACCACTGCAGTGTTTATCAGGCAGAAGTTTTAGCTATAAAAGAGGTGGCTGTGTACCTTAGTACACATGCCGTAACGAAGACTACGATTAATATTTTCTCGGATAGCCAGGCGGCCATTAAATCAATGAACATGGTAATGCTGAGGTCGAAGGTTGCGCAGGAATGCCTCGCAGCTCTAAACGATATTAGCACCGTGTTCAAGGTCAGCCTCATATGGGTTCCGGGACACAGAGATATTGAAGGAAACTGCAGGGCTGATGAGCTAGCCAGGAAAGGTACGAATCTACCCCTATGTGAAAACAGGGGCACTATTGGGATACCCATGGCAACCTGCAAATAAGAACTTCGAAATTGCATGATCCAAGAGGCCAACAGGTCATGGCTAGAGGAGGGCACATGTAGAACAATCAGGCTGCTTTGGCCGCAAATAGAAAAGAAAAAGACGAAAGAGTTGCTGTGCCTCTCAAGAGAGGACATTGCGAAGGTCACGGCTAGTGTAACCGGTCATTGGCTATTTGGCAGGCACTCTTCAAGACTAGGATTTTTCTCCCACGAATATTGCAGAAGTTGCAGAGATGAGGAAGAGGAAGAAACCGTAGAGCACTTCTTCTGTAGCTGCCCAGCTTTGGCCAAGAGGAGAGCAAGCTTTTTAGGCAGGCCCTTCTTTAGCTCTCTTACGGAACTATCACGCGTAGGAATAAAACCGATTCTACGCTTTATAAGAGCCTCAAATTGGTTCTCTGAAGAATAGTCACCGAGGTTCCCGTGTTCTGCAGTGGTACCACAATGGACCTTCAAAAGGTCTAAGTGAGTTGGTAAATTGAACCGACTGCCACATCAACCTAACCTAACCTAAACGAGGAAAGCCACACATTGAAAAATATTTTAATAAAAAATGTTA